TACCAGCTGATTGGAAGCATGGTGTCATTGTGCCAATTGCAAAGCCAGGCAAGGATCATACACAACCAAATAACTACAGGCCCATAGCATTAACATCGAATCTTTGCAAACTGATGGAACGTATGGTAATGAGCAGATTGGTGCATATCATTGAGAAGAAAAACACCGCTTTAGTTCTACAAAGTGGTATGGTAATGAGCAGATTGGTGCATATCATTAGGCCCTTTCGCACCGCTTTAGTTCTAGAACTAAATGTACGGTACTAAAGTACTGAGACGATTTTGTGCGAACTATTTTCCAGTACCATTTAAAGGGTTGCATTCGCACTGAAAGTGTGTACTAAGAAGTGACGTAAGTGGCGTTCATCAACCGAAACAAAGAACAACATTAACAACAGGAGGATGGAGGACGCTGTGATTGGAGCTGTGTTTTGTTGTGTCTCGCGGGTTTCACAATAATGGACATGGAAAGTCGACGTATACGTAGAGGGATTGAAAGAACGGAAAGGAGGACTAAGAATCTCCAACGACAACTGGCAGTTCTACATATGCTACAAGTGCCTGCACGTCAGTGTCCGTCCATCTATCGCTGTTCTCCATACTTGAGAAATAAGTTGACATCCTTATAGTATGTTTACACAGCGTTTTAAATCATGGCGGGTGAGGGCGTTTCCATACGCGTTTGGCCAATCAATGTCTACTTACGTCACGATTAGTACCAGTTGTGCTGGTTAGACCCTGCTCCAGAGTAGGAGCTAATTTGGTTCTCGAAAAAGGCAGTCCGGTACTAAAATCGCACCCAGTTCCCGGCGGTGTGAACATGCCGAAAAGTGGGTAGTTCCACAATTAGTTCTGGTACTATGAAAAGGTTCCTGCGGTGCGAAAGGCCCTATTGAGAAGAAAAACCTTTTCTCCCCATATCAAAGTGGTTTCCGGAAAGGGTGAAACACAATGGACAATGGCACAAGTAAACAAGGAAGTGTTAGTAGGAGTATTTTTCGATGTTGAAAAAGCATGCGACATGATGTGGAAAGAGGGACTTTTAATAAAATTAGAAAGAATGGAAATAACAGGAAGAATGTATAATTGGATCAATAATTTCTTGTTTAAAAGAACTATACAAGTTAGAGTGGGTTCTGCATTTTCTCAGATATATCCAGTAGAGAATGGAACACCTCAAGGAAGTGTTAGCAGTCCTGTTCTGTTTAATCTAATGATTAATTACATTTTTACACAGATAGACATGGGGATAGGAAGGTCCTTGTATGCAGATGACGGTGCGCTGTGAAAAAGAGGGTGCAATGTGGGGCATGTGGAGAAGTGTATGCAGAATGCTGTTAAAAAAGTAGAGAATTGGGCTAATGAATGGGGTTTCTGTTTATCTGTAACAAAAACTCAGGTGATCTGTTTTACAAAAAGGAAAATCAATCCAATTATGAATATGAAAATGTATGGACAAAAATTGGAGCAGGTGTCAGTAATTCGATTTCTGGGAATTTGGATGGATTCAAAACTGGATTTTAGAATTCATATTCAGAAAATAGTAGACAAAGGTAAAAAAGCAATACATGTAATGAGGTGCTTGGCAGGAGTTGAATGGGGGGCATGTCGTCAGTCTCTTAAAAGAATATACTGTGCACTGATAAGAGCAACTATTGATTATGGTAGTATGGTGTACAGTTCGGCATCTAAAACACAACTTTTAAAGATCGAGGCAATTCAATCACAAGCACTGCGAATATGTTGTGGAGCAATAAGATCATCTCCAATAGCAGCAGTACATGTAGAGATGGATGAAATGCCTCAGGAAATTAGAAGGCTCAAGTTAAAGATGAGATACTGGATTAATATAAAAGGACACTTAGATAGTCATCCAGTTAAGAAAGCTCTGAAGGATTGCTGGGAATATGAATATAAAAAACTATCAAGCTTTGGATGGACTGCCAACGAGGAGGCACAGAGTATGGGAATTAGTGACATCAATATTGCCCCTTCTGTGGCAACTTCAGCAATTCCTCCTTGGCTTTTCCCTATGCCTGTAGTTGACATTCAGCTATATGAAGAAAAACATAACAAGGAAAGAAGTATGTTAACAAATATAGCAGTGCAGCAATACATTGAACAAACTTATTATAGCATATAGCTAATATACACGGATGGCTCTAAAGATCCTGAATCTGGAATAACAGCAGCAGCAGTCTACATACCTTAATTAAAAGTCAAAATTTCAAAAAGAATTTCAGATCATATATCTGTTTTTACTACAGAGACAATAGCAATATTCCTAGCTCTTCAGTGGATAGAAGGAGTACAGCCAATAAGATCAGTAATTTGTACAGACTCCCTTTCAGTTTTAAATAGCTTGCTAAGTGGAATTTCAACAGCAAGGCAAGATATGATTTTTGAAGTGATGCAGAGTCTATTTAGAATAAGACAATCTGGTCTGATGGTAAATTTCCTGTGGGTACCATCACATATGGGTGTGGAAGGAAACGAGGAGGCAGACCATCTGGCTAAACAGGCTCTGAAACATGCACAAATTGACATTAAAGTGTCAATGAGTAAAGCAGAAGTAAAAGGGTTAATTGCAAATTAAATAAGAAAGAAATGGCAGAAGGAGTGGGATAGTGGAACAAAAGGTAGACACTTTCATCATATTCAAGAGAAAGTAGGTCAAGAAAGAAGAAAGTTTGGCAACAGGAAAGAAGACGTTTTAATGTCAAGAATGCGTATTGGACATTGTTCGTTAAATCAGTGTCTGTATAGAATGGGGAAGCATGAAACTGGAAATTGTGACGTGGTCATGCAGAATCAGTAGAACATGTACTTATAGAGTGTGATGCATATGAAGGAGCAAGATTTCAACTAATTCAGGCTTTAGAATCATTTGGAATAAATCATTTGTCACTTCTGGTTCTGTTAGGAAAGGACCCAAAGCAATCAAGAATATTTAATGAATTAAGTATTTTCTTAAAAGAAACAAGACTGATAAATAGAATTTAGGATACAGTGGTAGTAAATAAAGCGGTAATAATTGGTGTTGTGTTTTTTTTTTTTTTGGCTATAGTTCTCAAACTTCCAATCATTATGCGCTCCACACTCCTATCCAGTAGGTGGGGGAAAGCACCATTTAAGTTGGTTTGCCAACCGCCATTAACACCAGAAGAAAAAGAAGAAGAAGAGTTTCACTCTGCTCTGTGTTGTTTTGTCGTGATGCTGGTTTAATACAAACGGTTAGAAATGTTGTTTCTGTAAATAGAGAAATACATTTTTTGAATCAGGTCAATAAATACCTGTAATATTCTCATCCTCACAGTCGTGCGTAAGTTTTGAAGCAAGCAGTAATATCTGGAGGACTATCATCTGAACTGAGATCTGCTTCTGTGAAGATGCTGTTTGTTAAAGAGGAGAGTGAGGAGAACACGAGTGAACCAGAAACCTGGAGAATAAAACACGAGGAACCAGAACCCTGGAGAATAAAACACGAGGAACCAGAACCCTGGAGAATAAAACACGAGGAACCAGAACCCTGGAGAATAAAACACGAGGAACCAGAACCCTGGAGAATAAAACACGAGGAACCAGAACCCTGGAGAATAAAACACGAGGAACCAGAAACCTGGAGAATAAAACACGAGGAACCAGAAAAATGGAGAATAAATCACGAGGAACCAGAAACATTGAGAATAAAACACGAGGAACCAGAAACCTGGAGAATAAAACACGAATAACCAGAAACATTGAGAATAAAACACGAGGAACCTGAAAAATTGAGAATAAAACACGAGGAACCTGAAAAATTGAGAATAAAACACGAGGAACCTGAAAAATTGAGAATAAAACACGAGGAACCTGAAAAATTGAGAATAAAACACGAGGAACCTGAAAAATTGAGAATAAAACACGAGGAACCAGAAACATGGAGAATAAAACAGGAGGAACACAGAGGTTGGTGTTTATTCTTCATTCATATTTAGTGACTGTTTGTGGTACATAGGCTTACAATCCAACACAGTTGCACAATATTGAATCCTCTGAGGTCTGGTTTTGGGACCCTGGAAAAGTTTTGACATGCCCTGACATTTGTGCTTTTTTCAGTATCTTAAAAACATATTAATGACTAAAGTCTGATTACACTGTAATCCGCACAAACTGTGCTACAATAATTCACGAGCAGCATGAATATAGCCTACATGTTTGTGTTTGAGAAAATAATGTTTGTACATGGGTAGTGAAAAATAAAATTTTCTAAAATTAAATAGTCACCAAAATAAGGCCATAAAACACATACATAGCATTTGTTCACAAGACTTTTGAAAACTGGATGTGGTAGACTAGAGTTTTAAAACCCATTTGCATCAAGTCTTGTCTGGTACCAAATTAATAGTCTTCTATGAGCCTAGAAGATGACTGAGCAAAGCCAGAGAAGAGCAGAAGCAGGAGACGAAGTGATGAGGATAAAAAAGCTTATTAAAAAATCTTAGTTGCATATGTTTCAGTGCTCAGACTTCATCTGACCATCACACATCCAAGTAGTGTTTTACCAAACACAACAACATCCCATAAACCTTGAATTTCCATTAACATTCCCTCTTATCTCTTTGTCTCATTCAGACAAAACAGTTAATTAAACCTCACAATCATAAAAAATAAATGAATAATCAAATTATATAAATGGTAAATG